TTAAAGCCTTTAGTCAAACGATCAGATTTAAAAAATAATCAATAAAAATATCCCACAGATAAAAACCAATATTTAATAACGCAAAAGTTTACAACACATTTATTGAATCATCTATTAATATTTCGTAGTGTAACCGTTATTGCTAATTGCAGCATGTAGGCATTTAGAGTAGTCCCCTAGGAATTTATTGCATGTTTTTTAGCTAATATTTTTCCATTCTTCATAAAAAAATTCCTTTGGTTCATGCAGTTTTTGTGGGTTCCTTCTTTGAATTCTCAGTTTCAACACTTTCCATAAATTTTCAATCGGATTGAGATCTGGAGATTGACTTGGCTATTTTAGAACGTCTATTCTATTTGAACTTAACCATGATTTTGTAAGCTTTCCAGTATATTTAGATTCGTTGTCTTGTTGAAAGACCCAACCTGGTTTCAAGCCCAGCGAATGTGCAAATTCGTAAATATCTCTCCAAAATATCCCTATAATATACTCCATTCATTCTCCCTTCTATAATTACAATGTTCCCTACATCTTGGAACTAACGCACCCCCAGATCATGATTGATCTGCCTCCAAATTATACTCTTGGGATACTCTCTGATTTGATACAATTCTCGTTTGCAAAATCCAGTCTAGCAAGAATGTGTTTTCGCTTAAGAAGCTTAGCTTTTTTCCTTGGAGTCCCTCGAAAAGATGTCATATCGACGAAGTGAATGACTATTTGTATCCGTACTCACTTTTACTCTACTTCTAATCCACACAATCTTAAGTTCTTTAAGCGTAACTTTTCTCGCCATTGATCTTGCAGTACTTTCCGTCACCTTTCTAAGAAGACCAGAGACTTTTGGAGACGAATGAAATGACACGTCTTTCAACTGAACTCAATGGCAAAATTTAACTGATTAGATATCTTCCTATAACCAAGTCGATTTGTATGAAGATCAACAATATGTTTACAGAGGCCTTGATAAATTATTTTGCTTTTCTCCATTTTGCCAATGTTTAAAGGACGCTTGACAGAAAAAGAATGAGGCAATACTTTTAATCATTACTAAAAAAATAATCATCAAATTAATCTGGAACGCTCTAAAAACGCTCCCATTCTAATTTGGAACATTTTAATAAAATTTGAACACCGTTACAAATATCGGATTTTCTTCGTGGGATACTTTTTTGTAGTTTTTTTTTTTAAGTCTGATTGTTTGACTGAATACCTAAATACAAACAGTAAAACTTTAATTAATGTAACTGTATTAGAAATACCTAAAAATATTTTTGTAATGTGTTGTAAACTTTTGCATGGCAGTGAATCTATCAGTCTGTTCTTTATTTATCTATCTGTCTAACTATTTATCTGTCCCTCTGTTCGTTATCTATCTATCTATCTAGCTAGCTAGCTAGCTAGCTACATCTTTTAACTTGAAAAGTGAATTAACTATTTCTTATACAATGATTTTTGTAATGTTTTGCACTGGTTTAAAGAAGGTCGTGACTTGTTTGCGGCAAATCATCACAGTTAAAAATTTAATAAAATGTTGAACTGAAAAAAACTTGAAAAAATGCATAGACTTTTGAACTTTAAAATATGGTGTATGAAGATTATGGGTGTACCCATCATCAATGTCATGTTTGAAACAGTCCTGAATTTTTTTGCGAAATATCTGGAAGAACTAGAAATAAAAATAAACAAAGGAAATAATCCAGGTAAGAGCAACTTCACTGATGAGAAGACTCGAGGGAAAATGCTAGCACTTGATTTCCAACGAAATCCATTCTTAACGAAATCATCGAAAAATATCGGAAAATGGCAGTTTCAATACTATTATTATTATTATTATTATTAAATGGTAACATCACCGCTACAACTAGAGCGTGTCACCCAACCCATTTTTCTACCCGTTTAAATATTAATTCTAGAAATTATAAATAACAGTTGTAATAGCTATTACGGCGGACTATGTCCTCTCATTTCATCACTTAGGCAATAATAATAATAATAATAATAATAATAATAATAATAATAATAATAATAATAAACCAGATATAGACTTGCTGGACGAACGGAAAAACCTACCTGTCCTTTTGTCAAGAGAATTAAAAGCAAAGAAATGAAGATCCTAAACTACAATGATTTCTAGCATGGAATTTTGAAAATCTGAGAAGGAATAGCAAAGAAAATAATTACAGTACCAGCACCTCTCTCCAGAAAAAAAACCAAAAAAAACCCCCAAAACAACGGGTTTTGGATTGTGATTAGAAAAAAAAAAAAAATAAGCAAGACAAAAAGCATGCATGCTCGGAACAGCAAGGAAGTTCGAAATGTATTGCATACGGCCTGTCAATAATAATAATAATAATAATAATAATAATAATAATAATAATAATGAACAGCAGCAACACTGTATGATGAGAGCGGGCCAATATCTGTATTGGAAAATATGCAACTTTTACGCGAAGAAAACCTCAAGAAATTGGTATGAACACCACTCAAACTCGGTTCTAGAGATAGGACCTGTAACAAATTTATAGGACATACACACAGACAGAATAATCCAAGCCCAGGAAGCAAAAACAAAATGTGCCTTCCTATAAACATGGCAGTCCCTGCAGACTATACTGTATCTTTGAAGAAAAAATAAACTATCAAAATACAAGGACTGTCAAATCGAAATCTGAAAAATGTGGCGACATTAACAATTCCAGTTGTAGTTGGAGCCCTCGGATTGATTGGAAAATTTTCCAATAGATTCATTGAAGGAATCCCTGGTAGCCTATGCCTTGAAGAAATACAAAAAAGTGTACTCACATGCGAAAAAGAATGTGAAAAGCTGACACATCTATCTAGACCATGCGAGACATTTGTATGGAGATGTAAGTGATACCCATCATTAACAGAGCACTTGGAAGTGTTCCGAAGAATCTTGCGAAAAGATTTAAAATCAGAGGAAGGAACAAAACTCTCTATTCGCCATGTCCTTTCAGGGTATAGTTGATAATAGCTCTCCACAGCGTTATATTTTTGTAGGTCGATATAACTTTGCAGCCTTTACTACCTTCCTTTTGTTAAATAATAAATTAGCAAGTTATTATTTTTTAGAGAAGTGTATTTCTGCTCTGACTTCCTCAGCTTGATCTTAGAGGTCAGATATAAGACAAAATATGGAAAGTCAATTTTGATTGGCTGAACTAGCTTGGAAATGATAGGTAGAAAAAGGTTTTTCGGAGAATCGAATCTTAACCGTCAAACAATGTAGACGTGTTCTCTGTCGTGTCTGGATCTTCTCCCCTGTGGATAAAAGAGTGACACCACTGAATATTTAGAAATGTACACGACGACGTGCTTAATAAACTAGTTAAAATTAAAATTACCTGTGTTGATACCTTTCATCTCTGGACCCCCAAACTTTTCCTACCCGGAAGAAGAGAGAAGAGAGAGAATATTCAACAATATCAGTGAATTGGCGCCGTTGACCCCCCCACGAAGGGGGTATACAACTCTTTTCCTCTGTTCCGTCATTCATTCACACAAACTCGTTAAGTAGGTTACTCGCTCCTGCACCCTGCTTTTCTTGCATTTAATGTCCCAAGAGCGTTTTAAATTCTCCAGAATATCGAGGAGAATGTTTGAGTATTAATGAGAGTTACTGTTAATTGCTTTACAGAGAAATCCATCAGTTTCTACCGAGGGCGAAAACTTCCTGAAAATAATGTTTAAAAATAGCAGTTTTACCAACATCATCACCACTACTACAGTCAGTGACTTTACTATTTACTCTCATTTTTAAATGATGATGACGAAAGAAAAAGACAAAAAGTTAAAATTGAAAGAGCAAAAAAGTAAATAAATAAAATAAATAAATAACGTGCCGAAAAATAAAGCGAACTGAAAATCCATCAGAAAATGTTTTGAAAAAAATGTGATAAACTCCAAAACGAAGGTATAAAAAATTATGATAAAAACTGAAGTGTGTAAGATAAAAAAGATAAGTCAAAAACAAAATAAGAAAATAAATATATAAAGAAAAAATGACTAAGAAGTCGAATATGCAGGAAGGAAAAAATGAAAGAAACAGACGATATGATAAAAAAATGGAGGAAAGAATGAGAAAGTAGAGTAAGAAATGGTAAGCATCTCTCCCAGAAAGAGGACAAGACGAACGATGGGAAACAGTAGTCAAACAACTCGTAAGTCAGTCAAGTATCGATTTTGCTTTATATTGTTCTGGCAAAATGTTTGAACGTAGGCAGGTGCAGGTTTGAAGGTTTTACTTATATTTTCGTATCTCTACAAATAAGGAGGCCTGTGTGTATTTTTATTTAAAGGTGCGTCAGTGTAAGGCTTTTTTCCCACCTCTTCCTTGCTTACTTTTAGTAGCCTATGGATATACGATGATGTTGGTTACCATCGATGAAAAATAAAATGAAATGAAAAATAATAATCTGCGTAAGGAAATTTTTACTACATTATTAATCGTGTGAAACAAGGTCATTTGGGAGGAAAAGATGGTTAAAAAGATTGTATTGCGCCAGTCTTACAAGTATCTAAGCTATTCCTGTTGAGAATGTTAGCATTCTTAATCCTGTTATTCCTGTCTTTTTTTTTATTGTTGTTCTCGAACAAGTATACAAAATTCTCTGTTGGGAATAAAATAAGCAAGTAACTTCATCATGGAGATTGTCTCAAGGGTTCTTTTATTAATATATCTTAAAGCTGTAGAAAATATGTTGTGCATCCAATACCCATTCGCGCGAGAGATAGCAAGAGTAAGATAGATAGATAGATAGATAGATAGATAGATAGATAGATAGATAGTGATGTGACAGAAATAAGAAATAACGAAATAAAAATCAGAGAAAGTACGAGAAAGAGCAAAAAATTGAGAAATAGAAAGAACGGAAGAGAAAAGGAAAATAAGGAAAAGGTATATATATATATATATATATATATATATATATATATATATATATATATATATATATAAATAAACACAGGGGATATACACAGATAAATGGAGATAGAAACAGATATGTAGAAAGGAGAAGATAGGAACAGATATATATAGAGAGAGAGATAGAGAGAAAGAGGGAGATAGAAACAGGTATATAGAAAGAAAGGAGATACAAACATATGTAGAGAGAGAGAGATAGAGAGAAAGAGAGAGTGATAGAAACAGATATATAGAGAGAAGGGAGATAGAAACAGACATGCAGAAAGATGGAAGCAGGAACAAATATAGAGAGAACAGAGAAAAGCGTTCTGAAAAAAATGTAAGAGAAAGATAACGAAATAAAAAGAGAAGAGAAAGGGGGCGAAAGATCGAGAAAGGAATAGCAAATCTTGAAATTGAAAGAAGAAATAAATATAGTAAACGTTAAGAGATAAGTGTATGTGTGCGTGTGATAGACAGAAAAGAGAGAGAGAGAGAGAGAAGATAACAGAAAGCAAGAGAGAGAGAGAGATGAGAGAAGCGGAGAGATCTCAAGACCACAATTATCTTAATTTGATGCAATTCACCAGAGATTATGTTGTTGTTTTTATTTTCATTAATCTTCTAACTCTACTCTCGGCTTAGTATGAAGAAAACGTTTACAACATTTTCGTTGTCATTGTACGTGAAAAAATGGCGCTTTTGTAAATGAGATTTAAATTTAAGCAAAACGTTTGAGACAAATTGGTAAAAAGTTGAGATGTATTTTCTGACAACTGCAGTGACAGAGATAGACAGCCATACACACATATACCCCCCCAAATACACCCCCCACATATTTGAGAGTTTGCGAGAATGCACAAGCGGCGTATATGCAAGCATTCGTCTCACTCTATTTCTATTTCTCTCTAAATATGTGTTTGTGCCGGTATATGCGAGTGTATGTGTAGATTTATTGCAGTTTATGTGTATATATGTGACTTCCTTTCCCGTTTTCGCACATGTAATTATATCCGTAGTTGTGTATAACAAGGCAAAGTTAGATAAATGGCAATAGACTGAGATTATCTATCTATCTATCTCAGTCTGTTCATATCTATCTATCTATCTATCTATCTTTCTATCTATCTATCTATCTATCTATCTATCTATCTATCTATCTATCTATCTATCTCAGTCTGTTCATATCTATCTATCTATCTATCTATCTATCTATCTATCTATCTATCTATCTATCTATCTCAGTCTGTTCATATCTATCTCTTTATCCCTATATCTATCTATCTCATATCTATCTATCTATCTATCTATCTATCTATCTATCTATCTATCTATCTATCTATCTATCTCAGTCTGTTCATATCTATCTATCTATCTATCTATCTATCTATCTATCTATCTATCTATCTATCTATCTCAGTCTAATCATATCTATCTATTTATCTATCTATCTATCTATTACTATGTAAGATTTTATTATATAAGTCAATGTTTCACAATTAAATTAGTTTTAAGCAACCGAAGTTCGTAACATTTTCAGGATATACTCTTATTTATATAATAAGTGTATAATGTGAATTTCTGTTTCCTCAGAAAAAATCATAATATATTTTTGGCGGTGTGAGATTTTATAATGCAGTTCGAGCTTTGTTCATCATATTGTAAATAAATATATCGAATCTTATGGTTATTGATATTTATATTTTAAATTTCAAATATATAAAGGATGCCACTGGTTGGAATAAAGATATGAACTCAAAAGAGAAATAATATAATAGTAAAATTATTGACTAATGAGAAAATAACGTTGGAAATTGGGAAAAAGTTGGATAAAAAGCAATTAAGAAAAATGAAATTGAAAACATTGGCAAAATAAGAGCAAGACAAGAATAGTTTAATTATTTGTTTTTTACAGTACTATTCACCCACTATTCACCCTGTACAAAGCCCGGGGGTCACTTGAAGTAGCGGGTTACGTTAAGGAGTCTTTTTTTTATGGATAGGAGTGGAAGATAATGGTTAACTCTAGACTTAAACAGGTTAAGATTGTAGTGATCGGGGAAACAACCTCTTAGGAGTCTGTTCCATAAAACAGTGGTTTGCGGGAAAAGTCTGTTCATACCGATGGAATACGGAGGAAATGTACGTGGTTTGTTACAAAGTAAGTGGCATAGCAAATCCGAGCTGTGAAGCCAAGGAGTGTAGTTCGTCCGTGCACTTTCTATGGAGAAGCTTGCGATATATGGCCTGTGAGAGATAGGTTGGAAGGTGGAAAATAGTTCGTCACCCACAAGAACTCGAAGACGCTTTTGATCGCTATAAAGAATGGAAAGTGAGGAATGGGTATGTCTCGCCCAAATAGTGCAACAATACACCATTTTCGGACTGATCCGGCTCTTGTAAAGGTAGAGTCAGGTACTTACGGTAAAAGTAACCGGCCATGTTATCTGCATATTTAGTGACGGATCATATGTACAAGTTCCACTTAAGGTTAGGTGTGAGTTTGAAGCGAATATTTTCTCAAGGTACGGTACACCCTCGAGGGGATACCCGTGACTAGTGGTAGTTCCGCGTCCGAACGATAGTGATATAAACAGAGAAAACGATGCAGAATATTAAGACACAAAATCAACCAGTCTATCAAATTTGAGCAAACATTAAAAAAGTACGTGAAAACTGATTTATCAATAATAAATTTTAGTGATGTATGCAGAGCTACATGATCGGGCTAGAGTTTGTGTTTTCTATTGAAAGGGTCAACCGAGACGATTGAGGAGATAAAAGTGGAGAGTTGAAGTAAAGTTTGCGCTTGTATGATTGGCAGTAAATTTCAAAGTTGATGATGCCAAGATAAATACAAAGAATTAACTTTTGGAACAAGAGAAGCCTATATATATATATATATATATATATATATATATATATAATAGCTGGCGGTTAGCCAATCCCTATTTCAGTCGCTCACTCAGGAACATTTGTGTTTGCTCAACGCCCACAGGGCCAACTTGTGGTTTATACTGCAACTATGCTGTGCAGTTTCTGGGAGAGAGCGTGTCATCTAGCGTAATCAACAATTTGACCAAGGCCAGCACGCTCAAACACTCGGCCACGATGACTGGTGGCTTTGTGCTAGGAAATAGTGCTAGACATAGACAAAGATAGACATACGCATTAGAGGAATTAAATACGCAGGCCTATAGAAAATGTGCCATCCGGGAGGGATCGAGCCTGTGCCCTTTTTTGTAGGTGAAACCAGCGTTTTATCTGCCGTGTTTTAACACTTGCCTACAGAGAGCGTCACAGTTCAGCATGGATTCCTTTTTAAAGATAGCACTCTTACTCACTAATATATTTTTCTCGAAAGCTTTATCTACTCAGTTCCGTATCCGAAACGTAAACATAGCAATTTCTATTGAATTAATGGATTTATTTTTATATATAAATCCATCCGTTTATCTTGGAAGATAATGGTAGCGCCCTGTTAGGTCAGAAGTCAGTCCTTTTGCGAGCAGCGTTTCGAGTGGCTTAATAGTCTTATCTTTGCATGTCAGTCTATTCTACAGTTGGTGTGACAGAACGAAGCTGGAATGTGGAATGAAGGTCTGAGATTGCCCTCATTGCTTCCTGCATTGTCTTCTGACCTCTAACTGTTGGTTTCGCCTTTTCTGGCCTTCATGAATCCTTGAACAGTACGGCGTCAGCCTCTGCGATCGTCTGCTAGCTGAAACTCACAAGCATCGACCATGGGGTCGCCCGTAATTCATTCGATATACGTTGCCCAGGTATCGAAGAGGTACTTGACAGAGGAAAATATTCATATATGTAGCGAGACAGACAGATAGATAGCGAGAGAGAGAGAGAGAGAGAGAGAGAGAGAGAGAGAGAGGAGAGAAGAGAGAGAGAAGAGAGAGAGAAAATAAAATAAGAAAGCTAGAGTAAGAGTGAAAAGCGAGTGTGTGTTTGGCAAAAACGAGAAAATCTGAGTTTGAGAGAAAGAGAAAATGCAGAGAGATAAAGACAAGACTATTTTACATTTCGACTGGAATTATTCATGTGTTATTATTATTGGCAACCAAGCTTTAGAAAGAAGATTGAATTTATTGATAATTTTCGGATATCTAAATGAGTAGATAAGAAAATAATTGCTTAAAAATTCAAATTGATTATTGTTCCCAAATTATGCGGTCAGTCTAGCACCTGGAAGACATTTTTTATGGATATTAAATTTTTAAAACAAATTCCTTTTGTTGTAAATATTCTTTCGTTTTGTTTGTTTAATTTTCACTAACTGTTTCTCCTTGTGATGAAGTGATCTGATTCAAGGAATTCAATTTGTAACTTGATTTTTTTAATTAAAATAATGACAACAAAATAATTTCTTATCTCCATTTTGCACTTGAGATGTATTTTAGGTATATTAGGCTGAGTCATATATAAATGTCCGTTTTGGGGAACCATTTGTAATGACGATGGTATCATTCCAATTAACTGTTACTTAATATCAGGCGATGAAAAATACAACACTTTTCTACGCAAAAGGTTGACAAGTATAATTCTCCACATGAGCTCCATTTAATTCTGGTGTAGTTGTCCATTTAAAGTTATTAAAACACAATCAAACACTAATTGCACATTTATATGCTCAGCAGCTGCAACATGTCCATAAAAGTTTAGTCGAAAAGCGCCCTGCGTTTGTCAGTGTGAAAACATGTTATTTTACATGATAACATAAGACCACAGACAGCAGGAATAACACAAGAAAACATTTTGGCACTTCGTTGATCTCTCCTACTTTACATGGCCTTGTGCCAACTGATTATTACGTTTTTCGATTGCTGCAAAATGCTTTGATCGGGAAAACATTCTCTAATGAAAACCAGATCCAAAAGTTCAACGACAAGTTTTTCACATCAAACATACAGAATTTTATTCAAAAGGTATTGAAGAAGAACTGCCTGATAAGTGACAGCAAGTCATTACAAATAATGGTGAATATATAATTGAATAAAATGGAATTGTACTTTATTTTATAAGAATAAAGTTGGTAAACACAAACGAAAATTATTTACGATTCGCATTAATAGATTATTTTCTTAAAATCATGGTGATTGGCTAGGATATTTTCCAGTACTAAATACAAATACAAGATATTTTTATTATTATTTTAATTTTTTTTAACACCCGAATAAAATTTAAAGAACATTTTGTACGATCTGTCAACATTGGACGACAAAAGCAATTTGAATTTCGTTTTCAAGTTGTATCAAAGTTGATAGAATCAATAATAATGGATACATTTCTGTGAAGTGGTGGGTGACAAGTTAATTCCACAGACCACAACCATTGTAGGGATTTTGATCCTCGAAAGAATTAGGATTGAAAAATTTTATACCCACCTCGCTAAATTACTTTTGAAGTAATTTTCAAATAAATTGTAGATAAATTAAACGCTACTTCAAATTTTAGATATTTTATTTTTAGTTTTCTTTCCAAATCATTTTGAATTCTCTTTAAAAAGAGCAAAAGATTCTCACTGAAGTTTCTGAAATTACAATAAGGATTTTAGAAACTGAATTTTAAGGCAGGTCGGCGAAACTAACGACCAATTTTCTTGAAATGAACACACCTGATTTAAAGAACATCCAAGACGCTTATGGGCATGGAAAAGCCGGCAGAAGATTTAATAAATAAAAACAGATAGAATGCGTAACCATTAACAAACGTCTTAAAAATGCAGTTTTACACTTTGAAACATACCCAAAAGGGCAGATAGCGAGCGCGATCATCTCCCAGTTACGTGCA